CGAATTGGTTAATTAAAATGGAAAAAATATTAAGCAACAGAATTTAAAAAAAAGGATACTAAATGAGTTCAACACTGCTTCTATGAGTCAATAGTAATAGGATTACATCATAGGGTCATGAAAAAAGAAGTGTGTCTATTAGGCATCTATTGAATTCAGACTTCTTTATTGGAATCTGTTGCAATTTCTTCAAACATGTATTGTATGAAAAAGTTTCGAAATTTCTTGATTTCTCTGTTTATTGTGTTATTTCAATAGACGTTTTTTAGCACTTAGGCTGTTTGCACGTCCTCCGACTGATTGACATGCGCACAGCAGTGAACTTAATTTAAGTAATTATTGCCAAAAATTTCACAAAACACAATAAAATAATCTCAAGATGGCTTTTGTTTTAGGATTCGTTTTATATTTTTATTTTAATAAAAAACTGCAACCTTTTCAGACAAATAGGTCTACCGCACTTCTAAAATGAATGCTAGTCACTCTTCTTCCTCTGAGCCAAACTAAGTTGGATTTCACTTTAAGTCTACATCGATGCGGCTGAACTTCAAGGTTTTACCCAAAGTGACTGCCATCCGACCTCCACAACCCAAGTACTAGGATTTTTCGAAATTCTGTAGAAAGACTATTGTTGGAATTTTTAGATCTCCAACTACCCGTAACGATTGCCCTAGAATCCCAGACGTTCGTATGGAAACCTGGCCCGATGGCTTAACATTCTCCTGTGCTGTTCTCCCAGGTATAGAGGGGTCTCAATGCGCTTTTGAATTGCTTAATTTTGCAATGTGTTAATCTAATCGGTTACCAGTTAGCCACGAGCCCCTGCTAGTCGAATACTAGTCACTCTTATCACATTTATATTTCGTAAGTGTATGATGATTATAGTGAAGTGTGAAGTGAAGCTTATCAGTGAGTTTGTAAGTCAAATGTATGAGATACTTTTTTTCATGGTTTAGGGTAGCAAACAAGTAACCTGATGGTAAGTGAGTACTGCCCTTCATTGATACCTGCAACGCAAGAGTCATAATTGCGTAGCCGCCCTTTGAGCCCTCCTCACAGGATCAGGAGTAAGGTACCTCACGAAGTCGGTGGAAAGACTTTTAAAAACTGGTTGTCTGTGTGACCCTGGTATCACTTCGCCCAATCCAAGACTCCGGGAAGGCCAGTGCCGAAGCATGATTTCTCACCAAATACGTTTTTCCAAAGGTCTTGAAGTAAATAGAAACAAAATACACTTTAAATCATAAATCAGCATAGTACTTATTAGTGTCGCCAATCACAAGACAGACAGACATAAAGAAATACGACTTCAAACTCTTCGAACTAATGCAGTCTCAGCCCTGTTTTTCATCTCCTTTTTTTACAACTCAGCGGAAGTCAGCGAAAGCGTTTTGTACTGCCTTTAAACGAGTAACTTTTGCCCACTTAAAAAATTGTCCAAATTTTGAAAAAAAAATAAACTGTTGATGCAAAGTCCGGTGAGTACGATGGGTGACGGAGAGCTTCCAGCTGTAACTCTTGTAGCTTTGCGATGGTCTGTCGTAAAGTGTGAGCTCGCGTCGTGGAGAAAAACCCTTTTACAACAAATGACTGAATTTTCAATTGAAATAACATGGCTTGCAAATAAAAAAAAAATTGAATTTTGAATTGCGCCCCAATCCACAGACAATTAAATCTGAAAATGCTGGTTTTAAAAATCTCCAACTTCATAGGAACATATTATAATAGGAAATGAATTGATTCGAAACTTTACTGTTGTGCGATTTGTCGCAATGTCTAGAAGCAAATAAAAATAAAAACCGGATGGCATAGTGGTTTGTGTAACGGGCTGCTATTCCAAAGGTCGCGAGTTCGATTCCCGCTCAAGTCAAACATTTGTGTGCATGAACATTTAATGTTTGATTTGGTCTGGGTATTTCTATGTATAATATGTTTGTATTTACAAAAAAAAAGTAAATATGTATTTATATCAGTTGTCTAGTACCCATAGTACAAGCTTTGCTTAGTTTGGGACTAGATGGTGTTGTGTGAATGTAAATATATTATATTATATTAAATTCTGCATTGCAATAATAATTGAGCAGTCTCGATGATTGTATTATAACTTTTTACAGACCGTAACGGTACTTAAAAGAAATAGTTATTACAATTTTTTAAATCTATTACAATTCAAAATAAAACAAGCGACTCAAATTCGTAAAACACAATGTCACTTTACTATGACTAACAAACTCTACTATTTTGATTTGATTTGATTTGATGATTTTACCTCAAATAACAAGAATGAGGACTTATCAAAATGTTTGTAAATTAATTCGCCCAACATAGATCTGAAGCCTTCGTATTAGGTAGTAGTACATAAAATTAATGCGCTATAACAACCTACTATCAGGTCATTACCCCGAAACGATGCCAAACGAATCATTATTCCTGCATTTTTACTATCATGGTGAGTCTGATACTTTGTTTTTCGACCGTTGTGACGTCATAAAACCTAAATCCTTTGATTTAGTTGAGGAAAATGGATATCGTACTTTGGATATATCTTGAACATAGATGTTATAACTTTTATAAGTTATAGTTATTAGATATTATTATAGTCAATTGACAGTATTTGGTATCCTTTCTGCTGTCTTTGCAATTTTTACACTCTTCATATTAGCTTCACTTGTATGTTTGTTTGTATGTTTGTAACCGACTCCTTTGGGCGTTATTTTGACTGACTTTAAACGTTCAGGATTCGTTCAAACTTTGTAGATATATCGAGGACCGATGACAATACACTAATTTAAAAAAAATAAAAATAAAAAAACACGCTTTTTTTCAAAACATAAAAAATAGTACAAAGCACCCCACGCTTTTTTTCAAATTTATTTTCTATTTTTTAGTTTGGTTTTCTATAGAAAACGTGTTTTATAGTTTTTTTAAACTATAATAAAAAAAAATAGACGAATCTCGTTCACTGTAAATGTACTATAGTACTGATTTGTCGTGCGCTATTATATTATGAAGATTCAAAGTAATCAAACTAAACAAGGTTGTAAAACAATTAATATTAAGTATTTGAATTTAATTTTACCAACCCAACCGTCTCATGTGGTCCGATTGAAAAAATAACGGAAAATTTGCAAAAAAATAAACTTAATTAATTTTATGCCCTAAATCTTTTATTTTCTAATAAAAAAGACAACTCCCGCACTATAAATACATCCTGTATTACGGGAGACTTTACAGACATCAAAGAAATGGACACAATGAACAAATTGTTGCTCTGAGTCTGGGCTCAGAACAACAATTTGTCAATCACACAAAGTGTTGTCCCATGTGGGCATCGAACCCACAACACTCAGCGCAGATGCACAATGGTCACCTCGACGCTTCGTCGTTAAACCAATGCATTCTGTGCAAGTGACTGGTTCTTCATTTTGATTAACCCAACCATTTATGATACTCCAAATATCTAAAAGCATTTTAATAATTTGGAATTATTTACTTTTACTTTGAGGTTTGTAGCTCTTCTGTTGAGTTAGGATGTTATAAAACGATATAATCCTCCAGTGAGTAATAGCCCTTGAGAAACAAACTGTTTTTTTTACTGTGGACTACATTTTTTTTTCAGACCTAAGCTCACGTATTGTTTCTAATAAAAATACTACAAAACATCTTGTTAGCTTTTTGGAGACTGAAAGCAGATACAATAAGTTGAACCCTCGTCAATATCACAGATGACATAAAGACACGCACAGATAATAATAAAAACCTTACTACATGTTTACTACAGTTCAAAAGTTCTTTTAATGCTGTGGGCTTAGAGATTCTCCTAAATCTCCAACAGTTAGTGGCTGGTTTTGAAGTTACCTATGTGGGTGCCGACGTGTCTCACTGGATGAGATATAACAGTTACATAATGTTGAGTTTTGTATCTTGTACTTTTTTTAAATATGTACAAAATAGTCAAGCCTAAGGGATTGCCGATTGCAATACGGCGCGGTGCGATTGTCGATCTCATTGTAGTAACTTTTTATTAGTTAGTATGCATTTTTCTATTTAACAGTTAATATTGGTCTGGAACCTATATTATATGCTGTGCTTAAAGTGGATTTAACTAGCTAAGATAACTTTGTGTAATTTTTATTTGAACAAATTGGTGTACAAATCAAATATGTTACTGTAACAAAAAATCAAATCTATTATTGAGCGAGTAATCGTAATCACACGTAGCTTTACTCACATGAATTTATTAATTCAAATTTGATAGACTTGATAGACTTTTTTATGCATGACCTATGTCCTCGGGAGAGACCTATGTCCAGCAGTTGACATCTTTCGGCTGAGATGATGATGATGGTGTCGATGTATGACCATAAATACCTTGCGGTATTCCTAGCAAGAGATTCGAAAATCATGATGATCAGATTAACGGTAAGATAGCTCATGGTATACAAATAAATAAATAAATAAACGAAATTTCATCTGAATACTTGTACTGTATAATGTCTTGTTTAAGTCTGTTTTGCATCTATTTACAATACACCATAGATCCTTGCGATCATTGGAAAATTTGGGTTTTTCTAACAAATCATTCACATTCATAAATCGCTCTATAACTTGTGCCTTTGTTTAAATAATTCATAAATACATTGTAAATACCTAAACATATTTTTATACAAAAAATGGTAAAACAAGGTGAGAGATACAATGCCTAGATTTTTGTAAAAAAAAACTAAATTCGGAATCGTAAATATATTTTCTTTATTCTTTGTAAGTTTATTCACCTCATTAATATAATTTTACTTCGATAATACTAAAAAAAGCACTAATGCACAATTATCGTTAAACAAGTCAATTGTTCAATGGCTGACAACAGGTAAAGCGATTGGCAAGATCTCCCACTTGTACGGCACTACGAGGTTGCGCACCATTGTATTTTAAGAATTCGCATTAACCAGTCGAGTTATAATACGCGAGTGAAACAGTGAAATCGTTTACAGTGATCGAAAATGTCCGGTCAAGATTGGATCCCGCCAAATATTTCACCTATATGTTTAGAACAACACGCTCCATTAACACAATGCTCACCAACCGGGTATATGTTTCTTGCGTTAATATCACAGTTGTACGGCAGTGCAAGAATGAGCGTTAATCCGGAGAACGACTGGAAGTTTCCGAGTGACGGAAGTTCAGGAACGTTACCAAATTTTGGAAGTCGTTTCGAACATTTTAAAGCTCCTTTAGGACCCGTCCTATTTAAAACCAGTGATATTTCATCTAGACCGTCACTGGGGCCGGTGTTACACGATGGTATTTTGCCGAAATATAGTACTCAACTACGGAGTCATGGGCCGGGACCAAGTGTTGGTATTTCACAGACATCATCATTTTTCCCTGAATTTGAATTTGAAAAAGAATTTAGTAAAACAGACCCGTTTAAAAAAGATTTTGATAATCCATTTAAAAAATATAGTTCTCCTAGCTTTGATTTTAATTTCCATAAGAGGAGTATTTCTGATGTGGAAGCAGCTGAATCAAAAGTAAACTCTGCTAAGGAAGAGAAGAATAAGAATCAAGAAAAGAGTAGAAAGAAGAGACAAGCTTCAGAAACCTACGACTTCATAGTTGTTGGTGCAGGATCAGCAGGATGTGTAGTAGCTAACCGGCTATCTGAAGTTAAAAAGTGGAAGGTAAGTAATACAACCCTTAAAACACATTACAATGTTTATTTAACTAATTATGAAATATATTAACCATAAATATTTGAGTAACTTTTATATCGAAAACTAACAGTCGGATTGATTACAATATCATTCGCAGTTTCAATGAAACTATGACTTTTCAACGTATTCCAATATTCTTGTTGCCAATTTGAAATTAAATTTATTAAGTAAATATTTTTTTTCAAATATTGTGAAATATTTTACAGCTATTTTCAATTAGATTATTTTGTTTATTAGTACGTTAATCATTTGTCTTCCTATACTACATTATTATATGGGCTAAGACTGGTGATATCTAAAGAAGGTGCCAGCTAAAATATACACCATTTAAGAACACCTATAATTCAGTACATATACGGGAATCTGATGTTTTGTATTACTTTAAACCCAAAACGAACAAAGTACGCCATAAGAATACTATTATTATTTTCCTAAGAGTACATAAAAATAGTTCAGTTTTATAATAAACTGTGGACTAATACTGTAACTAAAATTGAAAAAAAAAAAGTTAAAAATTATTTTTTCTTCTCTGTTAGTTAACCAATGTTTTTGTTTAGTATCTATCGATGGACCTTTATGTTATGAATGAAAATATCTTTATTGTCATTAACATCGAAAAGATCGAACTTCGACCTTCGACCAGGTGAATATTCTTATTTGTTTTGTAATTACGTATACATGTTAAGTCCCTATGCATCCAGTGGAAAAGACGATCGCTGCGGTGATCATCTTTAAGTCAAAACCGAAATAGAATAAAATCTATCGTGATTCGGATTAATTGATTTATACATTCTTTTTGCATATTAAAAAGTCTTTAAAGACAAAAGGTAATTGCTAAAATGAGATACTGGATGGTTGTATCTGTGCATGAGTGTGTTTTTGTATTTTCGGTACTACAATTTTGTTCTACTCATTGTGAAAAATTGGTCAAATTTATTTATAAATCGTTCTACAATGTCATTGTAGTTCGTTCTCAATTACTTTTAGATCTAGACATTTATTATATTTAAGAGAACCTGTACTCAAAACAGGACCCGCTTAAGATCGATATATTAACCGATTGTTCAATAACATAACATATACTCGTAATAAGCCATACACATTAAACAAGGTCAATGGTTGATAAAATTAAACTTAAAAGTGAAATTTCTCTCGAGTCAATTTATGTTTCATAATAGCGTAATTGAAGCAAAGTTTGAAAAACGATATGTATCGATATGCGGTCAAGAGTCTTTTGTAATGGGAATAGAAACGCTGAATATGATCTTGACTGTATTTTCGAGTAACCTTGTACAAATAACGACTCAAACTGTCGCTTTTGACTTACAGATCGTTAAGGTACAATAAATCTTTCTAGAACATAAAGATGCACATAAATATTTCACTATTTGTGTGTAACGTAATCTTCTTTTCATAAAAAAAATCATTGGTTAAACCATCAATGATTTCCAAAAATTCAAAAAAAAATAGTCGAAGTCGATGACATACATAAGTGCGAGCGAGTGAAAGCGTCCATAGACTACGATGGTTACATTTTATAGACTAATTTACAGATAATAGACAACCGTGAACTGGTGCCTTGGATTCTAATTAATTTGGCTGTATGTAAACAAACATTTATCTATATAGTTATTCTATTGGATGTTAATGTTATTAACCCGATGTAGATGTGTTTATGGCAGCGATATGAAAAACACTTTTAGTGTTTTGTTTATTTATTGTGCAAGTATAATGTAAACAACGAACAGTAGACAGGCTCATTGTAGCACGGGATTAAACCTCCGTGGTTTTTTGTTGCTATGTAAATTAATTAGTTTTATATGTATATTTTGATATGTTAAATAAATTTTAAAAAATGAGGTCCACGCTTCGGAAGAATTAAGCCGGCTCAACCGTAAGGCATTGCGATAACCAAAACACCTGGTAACCCCTCCGGGTATCTCCCCTCCTAATTCTGAGGGGGGAGATATTCAAATGTGACGTACATATGACTTTTGAGGTGTCTATGGATAGCAATAGTCACCTACCACTTCTTTACACACAATTTTTTTTTTTTTCTTTTTATTTAAAAAGACAACTCCCGCAGTAGGAATACATTCCTGTGTCGCGGGGGACTTTACAAACATATATGAAACGGACACAAAGAACACCCAGACTCAGAACAACAAATTGTGGATCACACAAAGTGTCGTTCCATGTGGGGTTTGAACCCACAACACTCGGCGCAGTAGGAAGCGGCGTGGCGACCGCTTAAACCACTACGCCATCCGTGCAGAATTAACAAAACAATTGTTTAGATATGAGGATATCCCCTGGGATAGGGCCTGAAATAACATGGTCCGGGTCCTCCCCAGAGTAGGACACCTAAGGCGGGCCGTCGGGGTGCTCTCCTGTGTGTGAACCCCCATGTTCCCTTTGTGCACAGGCCCGAATGTTATATCAGTTGTTTTGATAAGTTATTTATTTTATTCTAGTTTGTGTATTATATTTTATTGTTTGCATATACGCGTATATACTTCTACACGATGATGTCATCTAAAACACAGGACAGATGCGATATTTTGGCGCTTGTAAAGGTGGAAGACGACTCGAAACTCGTCGATGCTTGTAGTGAGGAAAAAGATGACTTGAGCGTTGATAATGTCCAGAGTGATTGCGAGGATGATTATAGCGATGTGATTTCACACGAGATTTCGGAAGCAAAAATGGAGAAAGATACAAGTAGAGTGCATAAAATAACAAAAACCAATCTGCGGAGAACATAAATTTAAACATAATTAAAAAGTTCTTATTTTAAAACTGCCAATATTTCATTTTAACTATTATAATTTGGTATTTGAGTTAAGGTATATAAAAAAAATGTTGTAAGAAGTTACTAAATTTTTATTACGAAACGATAAATCACTTTGATTATGTTCTTTCACTATTCCAAAGAATTAAGAATTTAATTTTAAAGTATAATAAACATAATTTTAAATTTTCTGCTTTTTATTCAATTGAAATATATATATATATATATATATATATATAATTTATACGTAGATAATTTGTTATTTTTTTATTTTTATTTCTTTTAAAATGAGTAATTTTTATAAACTATTTCATAAACTATGTTTAAGTAAAAAGATAATCACTCACTGTCAACGAAATCAGTTGTGAGTCATATTGACCTCACGTTATGCTGTGAGGGGTAGCAAATAACGCTATGTATCTAGGGTTAAGAAAAGGGTAACAATCCCAAGGATTAGTTTAAGACAGGTGTCTGGCCATAAAAATAACCAGCCAGAAGCCTTCGCAGTATTAAAATAAAAATGAGGTAAATTCAAGATGATGATAATAACAATAAAAATATTCGATAGTAAAAACAGGTTGCAAAAAAAAATGATCAGTGGTTGTTCTTTAGAGTTACGAGTACTTTGTAAACAAAATTGTATAATCTCCTTGTGGCTAATTTGCTTAATATATCTTCTTCTTCTCTTGTATATAATTCTTCACACTAATCCTCATCATAATACTTTCATTTTTTACCGAATCAGCTTGCAAATGAACTACGTAACATAGGCTGAGGTCACAACTCAGCCTATGTCACGTAGCCAATTAAAAAGTGCATACGCAGCGGTGTATACTATTCACCAATTATTGCGAGAATATTGCGTGCATGCGCTCAAATTTCTTGTAACAGTTTGACCGTTAAAGGTTTATTTGTTTCATAATGAATAACACATATCATGAAGAAACTGTAAGGGTTTCTTGTTACGACTTGGGAACCCTAAAAAGGTTTCATTTAATTAGTTTTTTTACACAAATTTAGGACGACTCAGCTGTACCAAATGTTTCATGTTTTGATTGATTTGTTAGTAGTAAAATGTTTTCATATTTATGATATATCACTTACATTTATTTAGATTACATTTGTAGGTAAAAAAAATTAATACTTATAATAACCTCACACATCTCACACACACTCTGGGAAATACATACTGTGATACATACTTGTGATAAATTACACTCCTACACACATTAAATAACCGTGCTTTTCACACAATTATTTATCCTGGGTGGAAATCAAACCCCTCCGGCCTAGTAATCAGGGTCACTAACCAGTAGACACTAGACTAAAAGGCATTTCTGGCCAGACCAGGTTATTCCACTTTCATTCATAATATTTTGAAGAAAAAAGATAATTGTTACTGTGGTTTTCTAACAGTCCTAATTATAACTAAATATTCACACTCAACAAGACAGGGATGATGAAATCCTCGGTCCATTGCTTATCTGGGTTACATGGTAACAACGCGAAGGTCGCTACTAGAATGTGTTCACCGCCATTAATGTTAAAGATGTGCAAGTGTCCCTTTCAGTATCTTTTTATCAACTTCAAAACATGGAGGTGATTCCAATCGCATGTACGTAATATTAGTGGTCCTTTAAAATCATAAGTGAGTGTATGTGTGTGTATTTGTGTGTGTTTGTGTGTGTGTGTGTATGTGTGTGTGTTTGTGTGTGTGTTTGTGTGTGTGTTTGTGTGTGTGTAAGTGAGTTTTTGTCCCCAATTTCTTACGAAAATAGTAACCAGATTCGGACCATTCTTTTCTCGTGAAAAATTTCCTTTTATATTCAGTTTAGTCAAGATTCTTGTGCCTTAAAAAGAAGTAAAGGCATTTCAACTGGTTTACATGTAATAGTCTGAATACATCTATTTTCGTCTTTTTGACAAATAGTACACTCAAATATAATTTCATCTCAAATGTTGGATTTATATAAATACTCTTCTCCATTATTGAAATAATTTTTCTATCCACCTTAGCCGTGTGATTTTTATAGTTACTCAGGTATATCTTCCGATCAAGTTCAAAAAAGATTTTTCGAAATTTCAAATAAGTTGTTTATTTCTTACATACATATAAACGTTTCTTTTTTTACAAATGCATACAAATTTCATAAATAGTTTACACTTGCGCATGTAT